ATCTAACCGTTCTTTCCTATTATATCAATACACACACACACACACACATATATATATATATATATATATATATATATATATATATATATATATATATATGTCCGTGTGTTTGTTTATATTTCTTTATATACTGATAAATTTTTGATATACAATGTGAATGGGAAAGATTATTAAATACAGAAAAAGGAATAAAGGTCATATAACATGATAAATCTGAGCACATAATACTAGCAACTAATTCAATAACAACTTAATATATATATATATATATATATATATATATATATATATATATATTATATATATATTTCATTAAATAATTAATTCATTAAAACATTAATTCGTTAAAATAATTTATTAGTTGTTAAGTTGGCATTCATCAACAAAGACGCCGAAGTTTTTGTTAACCCAATTACTTTTGATCTCCTCCGGGGTCATCCTCTCATTAAAAAAAACTTAATGCGACTGTAATTGTATATCAGTGTAAATTTTCTTTTGTGTAATTGTATCTCAGACAAAGATGTAACTATATATGTTGGCTTGATGACAACGACATTATCAAGACGTCTAACAATGCATTTGTCGGTCACAAGTTATATCATACAACCTTTAAAGACACATTCCCGTTTACCTACATGTTGAAACTTGACTAATGCATGGAATAATAATGCAACACAAAATGTACTTAGACCAAAATGTATTGAAACAAGAAAGTGTACACGATATTTACATATAGTCTTTTGTATATTCCTGGTAAGACCGTTCCTGGAGAATGTGTTGACTGAGTCGCAGTCGGGCAGAGTCTCTGGTTGAATCTCTAGATTCCTCCCTTCTCTCTTCCCTGTACCAACCATATTTATATGGTCGGTACTCCACTATGCAAATTAGATGGATCCTACCACAACACTACACAATACAGAAAAAATACCTGTTGGCAAAACCAATATACAGGGCAAATTGTCGCCATTATATATTGTTAATTTCACGCATGCGCTTTTTTTCATTTTGTCGACTTCGCAGTATCGTTAGGTCCGTTTGTTGTGAGATAAATAGCACTATGACGCAAATCACTCCGCCAGATATTTGGAAACAGCATACTGTACTGATTTGAAGCTCTAATACGAACATATTAAATTGTTTGGGTGTCAATCTGAGGACAGTGCAGATTATTTGGAAGGATTTGTATGGTTTTAATGGTGATTATGAAGTTGTTTGTAGTAATCACTAATGATGGCTATGTTACACCTCCAATCATCTTCCCCCTTGGAATTAGACTCAATGCAGAGGCCTAAATAAGCGTCTTGAGGATGTAGTGTTGCATTAGGTCAAGTGGGAGACTGCTGAAAAATACTATGGCAACAGGACGCTTCACCATGCTAAACAAGCAAGAAAGCACAGACAATTTCTGCGACTACATCACGCCTTACATCTGAACACCTAACTTCCAGACTGCAACCCATTGATTTGTGACGCGCATTTGAGTGTGAAACCAACAAGTCTCTTTGTAACACCAAAGATGAAATGAAGGCAAGGATTACGGCAGTATTCATCAACTTAAACAAGGAGGCAGTACAGAAAAGATGCAAGAGATTCCGAAGGAGACGTTGGTTGAAGCCAATGTAGATTAAATTGAAGAAATTTACTCTTTAGTGGTTTAAGGTATTTTGGTTTAATTTTGGTAAATATATATCTCAAAATGAAGTATCAATGTTATTTACTTTTTTGCGTAACTTAGAAGATAATTTATTCATCGTACCTTGTACTACACAATGAAAATAAGAAACAAAAACTTCAAAATCTCCAGGCCCACTATATCAAAAACAACCACCAACACTGAAAAAAAAACTATTAAGAGTGTAGTAGCATTATTTTAAAATGCATTTGACTTAATTAATATTTGACATCATATTGCCGTTTTACACCATCTTGTTAACTCCCTTGCATTGCGAACGCTTGTTTACAAATCATCGTAACCACAACAGTTAATTTTAAAAGAATTAAAACAGAGCGCAGTCAAGGGTGTTTACAAAAATCACCATCTCAACAAATTACAGTTACATTAAGTTTGCCTTATCAATTCACTCCAGAGGATGATCTCGGAGAAGATCGAAAGTACTTGGATTAACTAGAACTACGGCGCCTTCCTTGATGAATTTCTACTTAACATCAAGAAGATAATTAGAGAACTGCAAGGGATTATTATAAAAATAAATAGATATAATATGTCTATAATATTTAATGAAACATGCCTGAATGAAGATATAGGGCCTAAACATATATATATCTTCTTATGATCTTTAAGATTAGATCATCTATTGTGTGTGCATTTCTCTCACTTAAACCGTCTTTAACTCACCTCCCTAAAACTTCTCGCTGTTAAGTTTTAATCTCCCACCTTCTCTCGTCTGTTTCCCCTCTCTATAGCTCTAACATTCGTCTCACACTCCCATACTTCACACTCTCTCTAAATTCTATTTTTTATTTCAGGAGTTGTTTTTTCTGTTTTCTTTTTGAATTTGTAGGTCTGATGAATTGGATTGTATTTACGATTCCAATGGAATAAATTATGACCATGGAATATTAGAGTTTAAGTCTTTTTATTATATCCTTACTCTGTCCTAGACATTGAGTTCTACCTGGATTCTTCCTCTTGGAATTTTTTTATTCAAAAAATATATATGTATGTGTATGCATGTATGTATATATATATATTTATATATTTTACATATGCATGTGTATATATACTACTAATATTATCTATCTATCGATATATATATATATATATATATATATATATATATATATATATATATATATATATATATATAAAAGAATAAAATCCAAACGTTCAAAACATTAATTTAAAACATGTCTCAATACAAGAATAGCGCAATAACTATTTATTAATATTTTGTTTCGACGATTAATAAACAATAACGTCTCATCAGGTAGTTAACAATGGAAACTACCTGATGAGACGCTGTTGTTTATTAAAGATCGAAACAAAATGTAAAATTTTGTAGTAGAAAATTACATTTTCTAATGTAACAGTTTATAATATATATATATATATATATATATATATATATATATATATATGAAATGGAAAAAGTCCGACAATTATTTTAAGACATTTTTATGTTTATACATTCTTTTTATAGATACAAATATTTAAGTAAATTCCCTGTTCATAATAAACGGTATTAAACAACATTTACTGGCCTGAATGTCCGAGAAATTTTCATAGAAAATATTCGTCCTCAGAGAGGAATCGAATCTGTATCCTATACGGAACCGTCATTTAGCCTGACGTGCCTTAACCTTTTGGGCCACAGAGGAGCGTTCGATTAACAAGGTCGATTTTATAGAAGACTCTAGTTTAAAGTTACTAAAATTCCCCGTAGACTTCGTATAAAACGGGGTCGAGTAGCTGTTTCCCGAGACGAAATTCTGCCCTTAGAAATAGTCTCGTCTGGGGATTCTATCTGCCTAGAGGCAGAGAGTTTGACCAGCACAGCTGGAGACGAATCTCCAACTGCAGACCAACATACAGTATTTACTACTGTAATCATGTGATTAGGGACATAACCATTATCGTCCATAGATATGCTAAAACACTATGTTACTAAATAAACTTTACTAAAATTAAAGACTATTCCTCGGTTTTAGTATTTCCTGTTTTGGAGATTTTTTTGGTTACAACGATTAATCCAACCGACCTCATTCGAAAGAGTTTTTTTTCTCCGATTTGAATGATTAATAATTTTAAATCGGCTTAAAAAAGCCTTTTTTAATAAAAAAAAATATCATAAAGCCACTTCGGTCTAAATGTGACAAATACACTTTTGAATGTGGGGTAGCTCACCACTCGCAGTATTTCATTGTTTCGTCTTGTATCAGGGAGCAACGAGGTCAGATGTATGAACACTCTAGTCACCGAATGAAATCCATCGCCTGGTTTGGGCGCAGCATACAGCATGCACCATGATTCAACGAAATATTTGTGAATGTGCAGGATGCATTAATGCGGGAAGAAAAGTTTAACGGACGAAAATCAAACTTGTCACACATCAATAGCCACACGAAAGAACATATCCAGAGGGTTGATGCTATGATCAGTGTAGACCGAGAATCGCTAGCACAAGTGGCGGCAGTCGTGGGCATCAGTTATGAATCTGCATAAAGCATATAAACAGAAGACTTTCGATACATTAATGATTGTGCGCGTTAAGTGTCCAAATAATCAGAGGCGGCTTCGTGAACAAACAAAACCCTTGTTTTTGGAAGAGATCATAAAACAAGTTGAACGATACCAGAAGTGCATCGCGGTGCACATGCGGCTTCGTGTGCAAGGAAAACCCTTTTTTTTGGAAGAGATGAAAAAAACAGTTGAACAATACCAGAAGTGCATCGCAGTGCAGAGGCACAGTCAAAAATTGACATATGCATCACGTATTTATCAATGACATTAAATATGTTGCATGGAAATTGCCTTTACTTTATATATATATATATATATATATATATATATATATATATATATATATATATAATGTAATAATAACAGCATGGATTTTCACGTTCATAAATTGATAGTCATTACGCAATAAAAAAAAAAACAGATTTTGTTGGAACTTTTCGTGCGCAGACTTTGCGCGTCGTCGTGCAATAAATGCCTGAAAGATCATATGAACACTTTCCTCTAATCCAGCTAATATCAAACACACTCTTTCCATCTTCCTTCTTTTCTGACCTGCAAATCACAAGAATGCTTAGAGACCTAAATCCTCAAAGTCAATTGCATTGATTACATGGCTTCGGAAAAAAATTTGGATCTGCAAGAAATGAGTTCGTAAAAATACCTCAATCAATTTCTTTGCATTTTTGTGCGTTTTCTTTTTATGATTTCATTTAGCTTGAAAATTGAGATTGTGAGAATAAGTTTTTTGGCAACTGGCCAATGAACAATGGTTTCTAATCACGTGATTGAAAAGAGCTTGCTATTCAGTACGGATTAACCTCTGAGAAATATGAAAATAAATGAGTGGTGGTAGAAGGAAAAGTCTGACGGAACGAAAGAAAAAGAAAGAAAGAAAGAAAGAAAGAAAGAAAGAAAGAAAGAAAATGAAATGATGAAAGAAAGAAAGCAATGGAAAGAAAGAAAGCAATGGAAATAATGATAGAAGAAAGAAAGAAAGAAAGAAAGAAATAGAGAAATAGAGAAAGAGAAAGAAAGAAAATAAAATGATGATAGAAAAGTAATAGAAAAAAGAATGAAAGCAATGGAAATGATCAAAGAAAGAAAACAATAGAAATAGTGATAGGAGAAAGAAAGAAAGAAAGAAAGAAAGGAAATGAAATGATGAAAGACAGAAAGCAATGTAAATGATGAAAAAAGCAATGGAAATAAATAAATAAAGAAAGAAAGAAGAAAAAAAGCAATGAAAATTTAGATACAGTGAATCGGAAATCAAACCAAAAAAAAAAAATACTATGAAAATTGTAACACTGAAAATCTGAAAGAAAGAAAGAAAGAAGTAATAGACGAATAAAGTAAACATAGAGTAAAGGAAGACAGAAAAAAAGAAATATTAGAAAGAAAGAAATTAAAATGTAGAAAAAGGGGATGTGTATGTGTGTGTGTGTGTGAGAGAGAGAGAGAGAGAGTAGATACAAAGCAAGCAAAGAAGAAAAAGAAATGACTGAAGCAGAAAATCGGAAAGCAAAAAAAAAAAAAAAAAAAAAAAAGCCGGACCTGCGGTAAATATTAGACAGACAGAAAAAAAAAGAAAAGAGGCAAGAAAGAAAGACAATTGTACAAAAAGAGAATCTAAAAAGTAGAAAAGATTAAAAAAAAAGAAAATTTATACATTCAGAATCTGAAAGAAGGAAAGAAAATTTAAAAAGACGGGAAAATATTAGATTGGGAAAATCAGGAAAAGAGAAGTCATTTTAACAGAGTCCGAAAAGAATCTAAAAAAGGAAGAAAAAACACAATGAAACGAATATTTTTTTTGCAAGGCTGAAAGAAAGAAAGGAGGAAGATAATAGGCTGAAATAACAAAAGAAGGAAGATTGGCTGAAATATCGAAAGGAGAATGATTGGCTGAAATAAAGGAGGATGATAGGCTGAAATAAAGAAAGGAAGATGATAGGTTGAAATAATCAAAGGAGTATGATATAACGAAAGAAGGATGATAGGCTGAAATAAAGGAGGATGACTGGCTGAAATATCGAAAGGAGGATGATAGGCTGAAATAAAGGAGGATGATAGGCTGACATAACTAACAGAGGATGATAGCCTGAAATAAAGAAAGGAGTATGATAGGCTGAAATAGCGAAAGGAGGATGATAGGCTGAAATAACGAAAGGAGGATTATAGGCTAAAATAAAGAAAGGAGGATGATAGGCTGTAATAAAGAAAGTGACAAAACAACGCTAAAGACTTAAAAACAGACTTAAAAATTTCTCCAAGTCTAAATAATTTCCGGTTTAATTTAAGTCTGAGAGTAATCATTAAATTCTCACATATAATACTATGACTGCTGTCATATGATAGATCCTAACACGTTAACTCACAGTTATGATCATTTGATAGGCTAAACATAGATAGACAAACAAAATAGTTATCTAAATCCGGAAACACAAAAGCTATTACCTTAGATTATAAAGCTTATTAACAAATGATCAATTATTCTTTTGCAATTGAAAAAGTAAGCATTTGTACCTTGACGCTCATTGACCCTATAATGTAATGCATAGCGACTTCATAAAATTGGTAATGCAAAATTAAATCGCAAAGAAGAATTTTTTTTACAATTCAAAATATTTCGGCTTTAAACAAACCATAAAGGGTTGACAAAGAGCACCCCACCAAAAAAAAAAAAAAAAAAAAAAAAAAAAAAAAACAATCAAACGCCCTTCGAAGTAAATGAAGTCCCAAATTCAATATGCCTAAACCCTTTGTCATCAAGAGTAGTTAGACATGTATATGTTATATTGTTTGCAACAAAATCAGAGATAAGTAACAAAAGAATAAAAAAAATCTGTCTTGATTCAACGACAGGCAAAAATTTGAAAAATATATTCAAAATATCTTTTCGGGATAATTTTGTACATTTCTTTGAAATAGCCTTCGAAAATTGTAAATTGTTAAACTTTTTGAATGTCTTAAATTGGAGCCGTATTTAATAGGATTTGAAGAAAAAAGAAGTAAATTTGGCTAATAATTACCACAAAATATGAACAGATTCCAACACAACGATAATGCGCGAAAAAAGATTTTTCTAGTTATTCCTTAATGCAAAAATCTTTCCCTTGAAAATTGACTCGGAAATAATTCTACTGTACTTAGCAACGCAGTTATAAAAAATTAAGTGAACAAAATCATATTCTAATTTATATATTTCTAAAATATTTGCAGAATTTAAAATTTCCGATTAAAACGAACTTAGTAAAGCAACAGGAAGGGATACGAATATTTTTAAGTTAACTTGGATATTTATATAATTGTTCTGCCAACAAAAGCACAAGATTCACTCAAATAGAGAATCAATTAATGAGTCTTTGTAAGGTACAGCAAAAGAGAGTAAGAGGAGCATATTTTTAGAATTTGTAGTATAGATAGCGCGAAGACACTAAGATTGTAGTGATGGAAGAAGCATCCTTTGGGGAGTCTGTTTCACAACATAAAAGTTATGGCGAGGAAGCTCCCTGGGTGAAACCAATGGATTACAAAGCCAAGTGGGATGGGTAAAATCTGTGTACATGACAGGTCCTTGTAAGGAAGACTAAAACCGGTAATATCTAAGAGCAAATAACGAAAAAGAAAAGACAAAACAGCTAAAGTGGTTTGTCGTTGATCCCTCATCAAAGCTCAATCGAGGGCGAGAAATGTTTACAGTAACTACACCTTTGTGCAAATTATCAGGTCATCCCATAAGTTTTGTCCGAATTTTAACTTTTTTTAACTGATCAAATTTTATTTCAGAGAACAATAAAATTAAAGTTTGATTAAAACCCTGCTAACATGGAAGTACCCAAGAATCATTTGAGGCACATAATGCTTTATGAGTTCAAGAAAGGAAACAGCAGACGAAGCGGCTAGAAACATTCACTCAGTTTATGGAAAGGAATGTGTGAATGAAAGAATTTGCAGAAGATGGTTTGCAAAATTCAGAGGTGGAGATTTCACCCTTGAAGATGAAGATCGAACCGGAGGTCCAGTTGAGTTTGATGAAAAGCTTCTTGAAGCAATCCTTGAAGAAAATCCTGTTTTATCAGTTGAGGAATTGGCAGTGGTTCTCAGTTCAAACCATACAACTGTTCATCGTCATCTTCAAAAACTTGGAAAAGTTCCTAAACTTGGAAAATGGGTGCCTCATGAATTGTCTGAAAACAACCTCAAATCCCGAGTTGACATCTGCCTTTCTCTCCATTCTCGCCAACTTGTTTCGCCTTTTTTGGATAGACATGTGATTGGCGATGAAAAATGGATCTTTTATCGAAATGTTAAGCGTCGTAGACAGTGATTTGGTAAAGGGGAAGGACCCCAGCCACAGTCGAGAAGGGAACTTCATGGGCAAAAGTCTCTTATTTCAATCTGGTGGGATCGCCAAAGAATAATACACTTTGAATTCTTACCACCTAATGCAACAATTAATGTTCAAATATAATGTGACGTTCTAACCTTTTGCTGATTCGGATGGGAATCTGGTTAGATTCGGTATCAGCCTTGTCGTTCCCAGCTCGCCTCCAACGTCTTGTTACCGAAGTAACTGCTTTGAATTCTAATCACGTTGTGATTTGATCTTAGGTAGACGAAATCAATCAGTCGCCGGGCCGTAATGCAAGTCGAGTCCGATCAAGGGCAATACCGCACAAGTATATGTAAAATAAAATAAAATAATAACTCGAAAAGTTCAAACGTGTTAAAAAGGGTAACACTATTTTATATTTGGTTGCGAAATACAGGACTGCAATCTTCTCCCAAAACCGCTATATGGATTCGTGACACTTTATGTTTGTTAGGTGAGTCTTAACATCTTAAGTTGTTTGTTCTTTAAGAAACTGGTTATTGGTGTATCTTCAGGCGATATTCGTAAAACTTGTTTTGGTGGTGTGAGTCTAAGTCGTTCTTCAAAATTAAATTGTTCTTGGTTAGAAGTTGAGGTCGTGATTTGCGTGGAACTGCGAACTTAACTTGAACTGCCAACTCAACTGGAACTGCCTTTTACTCGCTGCGACTCTGCTTATATGGACGCCGACCAAAACCGGGGTGGGCTTGTCGGAGTTTGAGGTTCCTTGATAATTCTAAATCCACAATCCACTTCTTCGTTTTTGGTCAGGAAAATTTATTATTTTCCATTTTTGGAAGTCTTTCGTCCAAACACCTTCTTCTGTTCTCATATTGGTATCTCACCATACCCTTAGAGGGTGTCAACGGGTTTCCCCTCTCTCTCACAGTGGCATCTCATACCGATCCCTTCGCGTGGGGTGTCAACAGGCCTCCCCTCCTTCTTCACATGATTACCTTCGCCTGTCGCTCACGCCAGCATTCAGCCAATGGGCTCTCAGCAGTGTGGGTGTAGCCAGACTGGCCTCGGTTTAAAAAAATCTTGCTCAAAGAAAAAAAATATCTTTCTTTTTCTTTTCTTCCTTTCTTTCCTTTCTTCTGTCCGACAATAAGTCCTTAGACTCTTATCTTAACCGAATTTCATATGGAATTCGTCACTCTGGACCTTCGCCAAACAAGTGGGTGGTCAATTGGACGTATCGCACCTTGGTGCCAATTATTCGTTCTGATAAAATAATTTTGCTATCATAGCCAGCCCTGACAATAAACAGGTGTTTTTTCCCAAATGACATGGAGGTGGTTCAACGGACATTTTGGTTTCGGTCAAGCTTGATCTAATTAATTTTTATCTCCTAGCACTCTGCGGGACACTTGTCCAACTTGAAATTTTTACCATTGGCATGGGCAGATTGGATATATCTTATTCGGTGCGTCGTCATAAATTAAATTAAATCCGACACATCCGCGACCTTATTTCCTCGCTAATGGGAATAAAACCTTTAGCATTTTTCTTAGTTAAAAAGAATAATATCGCTTAGTGTCCTTTCGTGATGGCTTCTTATCACCTAAATTTAATTCTCACATTCCTTTTTTTTCTTCTTTCTTTCTAGCAACCTAAATAGTGTCACAATATTGTCAGAAATTAGAGCGTTTGAACCAAGCTTTGAGGAATAAAGACCTACTTTAGTGAATCGAAAATGGGTGATGTTTCATCAGGACAATGCGCGACCCCACACAGCAAGAATCACGTCACAATAGATCGAAGAATTTGGTTGGGAGAAAATTCCTCATCCACCTTATTCTCCCGATCTTGCTCCTTCAGACTACCATTTGTTTCGTAGCTTACAGAATCATTTGGAAGAAACAGCTTTTGTAACACAGGAAGAGGTTAAAACTGACATTTGTGAGTTCTTCGAATCAAAACCAAAAGAATTTTACAGCTATGGAATTAGTAAGCTTGTTAATAGATGGAAGGAAGTCATAGATAATCAGGGATAATCAGGGAAAATACATTGTTGATTGAATCTGTAATTAAATGTAACATTTGGTCACTTGTTTTCTTTATTCAAAATTCGGACAGAACTTATGGGATGACCTGATAATTGAAACAACCAGTTTAGTTAGTTTTCTTTTACCATACGGTCAGTTTTAGACCCACTGGAGTTATAGGGTGTAATTGATTTCTATTTTTTCCTTAGGTTTGGTCATTTACAGCGGTGGGCAGTAATGTGAAGCTATTTTCGGGGTGTATGATGAAATTTGTTTGGCCTTGAAAAATATTGCGTCATCCGTGATTGAATCAGAATTTTATCATGACTAGACATTATTTTCTCGGCTGTCGATTAGTTGTCCTATGGACATTGCGTGCGATGGACGTTACTCCAAAGAAGAAAATTGTAACGCTGCACGAACGCCCTGGCAAGTCTTATCAGGGTGCAAATCAAAGTACTACAGACAGGCCCGAAACACTTCTGATTTTTTTTTAAGTATATACCCCCCAAGGAAGACGGGAATGCCACTAGCACAAGAGTGCAATAATAAAGAGGGGTGTTTAGGGAAACGATAAAGAGAAGGACGGGGATCAAGATCAAGGCAACAGAAGTTGTCTATTGATATTACATTTTAATATTTGAAACTTATAGCTCATTACAGCAAGTTAGATGAAGGGAGTTCCACTGTCGGTAAGAGTGAGATAAGAAGCTTTTGGATATCAAGAGACGGCTATATTTAACCATTTCGACAGTGAAAGGGTGTGGCCGAGAGGACAACCTAATAGCACGTTTAAATTCATGCCGTTGGGGATCAGTGAAAGAAGCTCGTCGTAGCAGTTGCCATGAAAATACTTGTTTAAATCTACTTGAGAGTCTGTAATAAAGGTGTAACGTAAGGCGTTTGGATATGCATGTCGTCGTGTGATCGTTATTTATGAATTCGGTTTGATC